TCTTCAAGAAAAAGATTAATAAGACTTCTTCTAAGCAATCAATGATAGAATTTAAACAGCATCATAACAGCTTCAGTGTGAAGAAAGTAAAGAAGAATTTCAAGTATTCTGATTCTTCACTCACTATGAAGAAATATTAAAAAAGATTTAATAAAGATCTCTGTTTCAACTGTGAAGCTGATGATTACTATATCAGTGATTGTAAGAAGCTGAAAAAGAGAAGAAACTGAAGAGACATCTTCTCAAAGTTAACTTCTCTTCTGATAAATGTATCTGCAGAAGATAAAGAAGAGAAAGAGAAGAATTGATAATTCTCATATCTCTGAGTTTATATTACAATCACAATGTATACTCTGAATGAGAAGATATCAGTGAGATGCCTACTTGACTCTGAGATAGATATTAACTTCATATTCTATTTCTTTTCTTTGATAAAGAGTTGAAAGAAGATAGATCTGTCAGATTATATAAAATTTACTGATGAAATGAAATGTCATCATTTTAGCATAATTCAAGTGAAGTGTGTGATCATAGACTCTGAAGAAATCTTTAAGAAAAGCAGTCTACTTCTTCACACAGTCAACATCATAGATGAGAACATTATTCTAGATCTTTCATAATTGAGAGAAAACAATTCTCTTATTGACTGAGTTACTCAGATGTGATGATACTGCCTCACTGATGAAGAGACAGTGATAGAGAAATCTGAAGAGTTTCATCAGAAGAATCTTGAGAAAAGAATTGAGTTAATATACTGTATAGCAGGTGATTGAGACTTGAAGATAGATAAAGAAGCTATCATTCTCACTACAAGATTAGTAGCAGTATTCATCATTGAAGATGAACATATATAATGTCTCTTTATAGATTTTAAGAATGTCTTTTTAAAAAGAGAAGCAGTGAAGTTTCCTGATATCAAGATGTGATACAAGATTTGTCTTGAAGATAATGTAATAATACTGTACAGGCCTCTTTATAACTTGTCTGTAAAGAAGTTGAATATTCTGTATAAATATCTTGAAGAAGTGCAATCAAAGAACTGAATATATTTATCAAAGAGTCTGACAGAGACATCTATACTCTTTATACTCAAGAAGAATGATAGACTACATCTATGTGTAGACTACAGAGGTCTTAACAAAATGACAGTTAAGAATTACTATTCATTACTATTGATTGATGAGATGATTGATTGATTATCTGAAGCAAAGATGTTCTCAAAGATTGATATATAAGATATCTATCATAGAATCAGGGTTAATGAAGACAACATTTGAAAAACAGCCTTTTGTATCAAGTACAGTAATTTTAAATATCTTGTTTTATCTTTTAATCTCTGTAACACTTCAGTCATCTTTCAGATCTATATAAATGAGATACTGCAGGGCCTTGTTGACATCTTCTGTATAGTATACTTGAATAACATTCTAATCTTCTCAAAAATAGAGAAAGAACACAATACTCATGTTTAAGAAGTGTTAAGTCACTTGAGACAGTATCAACTCTATACAAACACTGAAAAATGCTCATTCTACATGCAGAAGATTGATTTCTTAGATTATATTATTGAGATGAATGACATTTCAATGAACAGAAGCTGAGTCTCTGTCATTGAGAACTGGTCAGTGCTGTGAACATACTGTGAGATGCAGATGTTTCTAGAATTTATGAATTTCTACAGACAATTCATCTATGCATATTCATAGATTACTGCCCCTCTTACAGATCTGTTAAAGAGAAGTGTGAAAGACAGGAAAACAGGATTATTTATTCTCACTCAAGATACTGTGCAGGTGTTTGCAGAATTGAAACAAGCTTTCACAGATGCTATGATGCTGAATCACTTTAATCTCAACTTACTCAGTCAGTGTGAGACTGATGTATCTGAGAATGAAGTCTGTGAAATCTTTTCACAGTTAACACTGAAGACCTTTCAATATTGAAAGAATCAGAGAATAATTATCTCTGAGAAAACAGGCAATGAATTGTCTGTGAGAGAAGACTTTTTCACAGAGTCTATAAGACACTGTGAATAAAGATCAGTGACCTTCTTCTTCAAGAAGTTATTACTTATGCAGAGAAGGTATAATACTTATGATCAGAAGATGTTAGCAATTGTTAAATTCTTTAAGATCTGATAACATTATCTTCAGAGTAGTAGATACTCAGTGTAAGTTCTCACTGATCATACAAATCTGTGTTATTTCTTGACAACAAAGAGCTTGACAGAACATCAAGTCAGATGAGTGAAGCTGCTTTCAGAGTATGATTTCTATATCTGATACTGTTCAGATCAGCTTAATCTTATCAACACACTATCTAGATAACCTGATTATAATATCATTGATACAGAGAAGAATTCTATAAAAGAACCTCTGTTATCACTGCAGAAGAAGCTGGCTGCAGAAGGTTGAGATTCTCTAAAGCTCAGAAACAGCACTGAAGAGACAGCTGTGTGACTCAGTATAGAAGATAAAAGAGAACCTGAGTTCTTATGAGAAACTGATACTGAAGATTATAAGCTTCTCATATCATATCTTATAATCATTGAATTGACAAAGAATAAAACAGTCTACAATCTTTCAATCTGACTACTTTTGAAATTCATTGATAAGTTATAGAAGAGGGATATCTCTACTGCAGCTTAAATTCAGAAGTTGAAGAAGAAAGAGTTCAGTTTAAACTTAAAAGAGACAGATTCTGAGTAGGGCAGTGCTGCTAAGAAATCAAGTCACTGATAACTAGAAGAATATGAACTTCTACTGCTGAATAATTCAGTCTTCATCTCTCATAGCAGAGTGATGTATCAGAAGTTATTGAGAATTCATTATAATGATTCTTATATAAAGCACTTTGAGTTAGAGAAGACTGAGAAGCTTCTAAAACATAAATACACTTAAGACAAGCTTTAAGCAGATGTCAAAGAGTATGTTGAGACTTATAATATCTGTTAAAGAATAAAGATTCTGTGATATAAGTAATACAGTGAGTTGATGTCACTGCCTGTTTCAAAGAGCTTATAACAGAATCTATCAATGAATTTCATAGTTGATCTGTCAAAGTCAATAAGAGTTAAAGAATATGACTCAATTTTAATCATTGTTGATCACTTCATAAAGATGATCAGATATATTTCTACTTATAAAAAGATTAAAGCCTCTGAATTGACTGATCTGTTTTTAGATATCATCATTCATGATCACAGTACTCTGAAATCATTGATAACAGATTAAGAATCTCTCTTTATCAGCAAGTACTGATCAGCTTTTTACTATCATCTTATAATAAGACATCTTCTCAGTACTGCATTTTATTCACAGACTGATGATCAGACTGAACACTAGAATCAGACACTAGAACAGTATCTTTGAGTATTCTGTTTATATTATCAGAATAATTGACTTAAACATCTTCTGACTGCTGAATTCATATATAATAATGCAAAGAATGCAATCTTAAAGATATCTTCTTTCTATGCTTATTATGAATATAATTCTTCATTATTCAGTGACATCATGAATGATGTTTCAAAGAAGAGAATAGACAGTTAGAATATCAGATAGATACAGAGAATAAAGTATCTCTCAGTATTAGAAGTAAAAGTGAGATTGAAACTTTTGAACAAAATTCATAAGAAGACAGTGAAAAGCATTCACTGCACTCAGAAGTGATAGATGAAATACTATAATTAAAAACATCTTTTAATGAAGTTCTTGATAGAGAATCAAGTACTACTTTCAGCAAAGAATATCAAGATAATAAGATTATATAAGAAGCTCAGTGAGTAGTGACTAGAATCTTTCTCAGTAATAAGAGTGATGAGTAAGCAGATATATGAGTTGAAATTACTCACAGAATTGAAATTAATTCAATCTGTTTTTCACATTTTCTATTTGAAGTTCTATAAGCAATATTCTGAGATGGAGCTGTCTTGACTGAATAATATCAAGATTGAGAGTGATACTGAATATCTTATAAAGAAAATATTGAATAAGTGAATATATTACAGTAAGCTTCAATATCTTATTAAATGAGAGAGTTATTCATTATCAGAGAATTTATGAGAACTGCTTGAGTATTTGAAAAATGCTGAGAAAGAGATTGCAATCTATGAGATAACTAGTAGAGACTGCTCTGTTACACATCAGAGACATTGAACAAGAAATACTGCTTAAGACTTCTCATTTTTCTTAAAGGATTTTTTAGAGATAATCTTATAATGATGAGTCAGCATCTTATAGACTCTGTAGCACTCTTCTTCTATTTTCTCTCAAAGAGTTTTTAGAAGTTTAATAAGACTACACAAGTGTAACATTTCTGAAGTGATTAAAAGAAAAGAGATATTTGAAATTAATAAAAAGATTAATATTATCAATTCACAGATCACTGCTATTCTAATAAGGTCACAGCTCACTGAAAAAGTAAAAAGAGAGATCAGAGTCTACTCATTAATAATCACACTCTCATCAAACTCATTCTTTATCATTGAAGTCTTCAGCATTAGCATCTTTATCTGCTGAGAAGTTAGTGCTGCAGCATCACAGAAGAGCAGAAGAAATGCATGAAATATCAACTTATCAACTTATAAAGCATCTCAGTTATCTACTTCAATTGAAGTGAGATTCTCTTTAATCAGTGATTAATCTCTGCAGTGCTTTCAATGATGATACTGACTGATCTCTTCTTAAGATCAGTTATTCTGAGGTGTTTTTTCATCTCAGAGATTCATACTTTCATCTTCTTTTGCAGATGAGCAAGAGGGATCTTCTCAGTCTTGATAAAATCTGTCAATACTTAAAGCTCTGAGATTCTTGCTCTGTACTGCTTGAACATCTAGACTTCTTATCAGAGCTGACATGACATCTTTCTGTGAAATAATACTTATAGAGAGACAGGAGTTGTTGTTGCAGACATAATAGAAATAACAGAAGTGAGAGAAGAGATGAGTATATAAAATCCTCTCTTTCTTCAGCTGCTTAACACAGTGCAGATAAGTAGTGATGCTGATCAGAGACTGCACTGAAGCCTTCTCACAGAGAGAAGATGAAGAAACTGTGAGATTCTGCAGACTCAACTCAGCAGCATCTCAAGCAGGACTCAGATGTGTGAGAGAGAAACTACAGATTGAGCTTCTTGAAGTCACTGTCTCTGAAATCAAGCTCTTCCTGAGTTTCTCTCTGAATGATCACACAGGGTTATACATCACTGTATTAGCTGAGAGGGGGGGCAGCGTTGCAACAGCGGTGAAGAGGGCAGAGGACAGACTGAATGCAGATGCATCAACTGACAGAACTGCTGCAGCTGTAAGAGAAGCAGAAGAAGGTGTGACAATGAAAGTGATACTCCCACAGCTCATTGACATCATCATCTTCAACCTGGCTTTCTTGACAGTCATGAAGGCCGCTGCCACATCATGAAGACATTTACTCACTAAAAAATGTCAGAATAAGCTCTCTACTGTTCTTCAAGAATGATACTCTCATACACTCACTATTACAGATGAGGAAGAGAAGAGAAAAATGTGTCATAAAAAGAGAAAATCTTTTTGAAAAAAATCCTGTCACTACTGTTAGCTTTGTCTCTAAAATACATCACTTTTGTAGAGAATTTCATATATAGAATGAAATATGTTGAAAGATCTGTAAGTCACTTGTTAACTATGTTTTTCACATTTCAAATTGATATATAAGGAACTCACTTATCACACATTTGATTTGAATAAAGATGAAAAAAGAAAGATCTACACAGTCAGTAGAAGAACTCATCTATTTCTTTATATTATATACAGCACATGTGCTGTCAATCAGTTGATAACTGTTACTATACAACAAAGATAATTTTTAATCTGATAATCTTGAGAGTATAGAGACTATGCTCTTAAAGAGAAGAGCATTGTCATACTTTCAGCTATGTCAAGATCTCATTGCAGTTTCACACAGCTTATCACTTTCATATGAATAATTTCATTTCATTCAAACCAGTTTTCAACTACTCTATGACATTATTCAGATGTATCATAGAAAGATCTGATTAATGAATATAAGAACTCTGCTTTTATACAAGATCAGCAGATTACTCTTTCTTAATAATAAGATGTCACTGAGATATCACTTCAGCTATTCTCACTTATGAAATGAGAGAAGAATATCTGCTCATTATCTATATAGAATAGCTAGATGCTGGCTTCTTATCAAAGAAGTCAGTGATTCATTTTACTTCTACTGAAATATATACAAGAGTTACTGTGTGTCTTATACAATCTTCTTAGTATACTAAGTATCATATTTGTGATATTCTCGCAATAACCCTGTAGTCTATAAGCTCACTATTCAAGCAAGATAGTCAAGCTCACTTATACAGCTTCTCAAAACAACTATCTCTACGTGACACTGCTGACTAGCCACCGCTTCGGTTCCGCCATGTTACAGATATATACTGATTATTTATTAGATAATGTTAAGACAATGACTCATCACAGTCATGTTACTCTCACTGTGAGAGATACATAGTTGATAATAAATATTGTAAAGACTCTGAGAAATAAGTATTTTAAGAATGCTGCAGCTCTGCAATCTTGATTTTTTTTTATTTTTATTTTTTATTTTTTTCTTTTTCTTTTCTTTTTTTTTTAATTTTTCTTTCTCTTTCTGTCTTTTTCTTTCTCTTCTTTTTTTCTTTCTCTTTTTTTTTTTTTTTTTTTTTTTTTTGTTGTGATTTTTTCTTGTTGTTTTATTCTTTGTTTTTTTGTTATTTTTTGTATTTTACATTTTTTTTTTAATTAAAATGATATTGATTATAATCTGTGTTCAGAAAAGTAATGATATTTGATAACACTCTCTATTGAATTTTCAACAAATGAGCACTATGTTATGATATTATGTAAGTGAGAAATGATTTCATAATCTTATTTGATGCCATTTTCAATAATAAGATTAGAATGAAAATGTGACTAAGAATTCAAACATATTCTTTATCTGAGACTAGATTTTTATTTGAAAAGTGAATCTGAGATCTTTAATATTTGAAATAATGGAATTTGAAATCAATGTGATAAACACAAATCATGACCAGGAGTAATGCTTTTAGACAACATGACAACTGTAAAGTTTGATCCTGGTCTCAGACACGGTCACACAGTCAGTCTACTCTGTATTACTCTGTATTATCTCTATTACTTCTTCTATCTCTTTCACTTCTTACTCTTCACTCTCTCTATCATTATCACTGTCTCTACTGTCTCACTGCCTCTCTATTACTTTTACTCTTTCTTCAGATCACTCTCTACTCTTCTCTTATTATTTCTTATCATCTCTTTCACTTCTTTCATCTCTTTTATCTCTTTCATCTCTTTCACTCTCTACTCTCTCTATCATCATCACTGTCTCTATTACTTCGTAATCTTTCTCTATTATCATTATTATCTCTATCACTTCATAATCTTCTTTATCACTTTTATTCTCTATCTCTACTCACTGTTATCACTCTTTTCATCTCTTTCACTCTCTACTCTCTTATCATTATTATTATTATTATCTCTACTTCTTCTACTACTCTCTTTCACTCTGTATCATCTCTATCACTATTATCAGATTAATCAGAGCTGTACAGATTATAGAGTCAGCTATTCAATCTTATTCATGAATTTAAAGAGATATATATGACATCACATAAGATTTTATTATAAAGTATTTAGTAGTATATACTATAAATATAGAGATTAAAATATAATAGAGATAGTAAGAGAGAAGTAGAGATAGTAAAAGTAATAGAAGAGACTATAGAGTAGTAGAGATAATAATGATAATAGAGAGATTAGAGAGTGAAAAAGATGATAGAGAGAGATAATAGAGATAATAGAAGTAAAAGAGATAATAGAGATTAGACTGACTGCTGAGACTATAAATTTCACGTTTAATCTCATTTGATCTGATCTCATACATTTCTTGGTGTGAATTCCGCTGGGACTGGCTATCAAAAAAACATGTAAAGTGACTATATATCAGATCTTAAAATGAAACCATGACTTGAAAAAAATGAGAAAGTGATTCTATTTGATTTCATTTAGTTCTATTCTTGACATAAAGTTACTATTTTTAGACATTTTAAGGTTTTTTTTAGACTATTTTTAATTTTTTAAAAAGTAACACTTTTTGATAATGCTCAAATGAGATTTAAAGTCATTTAAAGCAATAAAAATAATTTAAATTGAGAAGTGAAAATCATGATCTCATTTGAAAAATGTGACAAGAGTAGACAGTAAGTCTCACTGAGACAGTATGAGACTACTATCTAATGTTAAAACTGTGTAATGAGATCAGTTGAATTGATAATGAGACTATCAAAAAATCTGATTCTGGTCCCAGATACGATCACACGGTCAGTCTAATAGAGATGATAAGAGAGAAATAGAATAATAAAATAAGAATAGAGATAGAGAGTGAAAGTAATAGAGAGTACTATGAGACAGTAGAGATAGTAATAATAATAGAAAGAGTAGAGATAATAGAGATGATAGAGATAATAAAAGTAAGTGATAAGATAAGAATAGAGATATAAAGTAAAAGTAATAGAGAGTGCTATAAGACATTAGAGATGATAATAATAATAAAGAGTAGATAGAGTGATACAATTAACAGATATTACTACATATTCATGAATTTTTAATAAGATGCATGTGATGTCACGTGAGGTCATGTTACAGAGTATTTTACTCGGAAAAGTTAATTTTTCTATAATATATAGAGAGATAAGTAAGTAATAATTTTATAATCTTATTTAATATTATTCTTAATAATAAGATTAGAATGAAAATATAATTAAGAATTTAAATATATTCTTTATCTAAGATTAGATTTTTATTTAAAAAGTGAATCTGAGATCTTTAATATTTGAAATAATATGATTTAGAATTAGACTGACTGTGTAACTGTGTCTGAAACAAGAATTAAACTTTATAGTTATTATATTATCTAAAAGTATTACTTCTGATCATAATTTATATTCATTACATTAATTTCAAATCATATTATTTTAAATATTAAAGGTCTCAGATTCACTTTTCAAATAAAAATCTAGTCTTAAATAAAGAATATATTTAAATTCTTAGTTACATTTTTATTCTGATCTCATTATTGAGAATAATATTAAATGAGATTATGAAATCACTTCTTATTTATATAATATCATAATATAGTACTTATTTATTGAAAATTTAATAGAGAGTATTATTAAATATCATTACTTTTCTAAATATAGATTATAATTCATATAATTTTAATTATAAAAAAAATATAAAATATAAAAAAAAAATAAAAATAAAAAATAAAATAAAAACAAGAAAAATCAGAATGAATAAAAAAACAGAAAAAGAAAAAAAAATAAAAGAAAAAGAAGAAAATAAAAAATAAAAATAAAAAAAATCAAGATTACAGAGCTATAACATCTTTAAAATACTTACTTTTCAGAGTCTTTATAATATTTATTATTAATTATATATCTCTTACAGTGAGAGTAACATAGTTATAATAAATTATTATTTTAACATTATCTAATAAATAATCAGTATATATCTATATAAATGTGAATATTTAGAAAATATACACTTAAAAAGTGTGATCAGAGTGAACTCTGCTATTACTTAAATAATATTAAGAATAGAATACTGAAATCAATGATTTCTCTCATTAATTTCATAGATAAGATAAGTGAAGATAATTTTAAGAAATATAAGATTCTCTAACTTTTAATAAAAACAGATCTTACAGAGAGACTCTATTTATAATATCAGAGACTGAGTATTATTAAAAAGTATTACTTTTATATAATATACATGTACTTACTACAACAATTCATTCTCTATATATATGATTAAGAATTGTGACTTTCTCATACTATATAACTCTCTCTGAAATGCTGATACTGATTTGTAACTTACACAGTCTCTCAGTTCAGTACATACTGTATATATACAGCTCTGTGTAAACTGATTATATGACTGTGTCTGAGATCAGAATCAGATTTTTTAATAGTCTTATTATCAATTTAACTGATCTTATTACACAGTTTTAACATTAAATAGTAGTTTTATACTGTCTCAGTGAGACTTACTGTCTACTCTTATCATATTTTTTAAATGAGATCATGATTTTCACTTCTCAATTTAAATTATTTTTATTGCTTTAAATGACTTTAAATCTCAACTTTTTGAAAAATTAAAAATAGTCTAAAAAAAACCTTAAAATGTCTAAAAATAGTAACTTTATGTTAAGAATGAGACTAAATGAGATCAAATGAGATCACTTTCTCATTTTTTTCAAGTCATGATTTCATTTTAAGATCTGATATATAGTCACTTTGCATGTTTTTTTAATAGTCAGTCTCAGTGAGATTCACATTAAAAAATGTATAAGATCAGATC